TTGACACTGAACAGAGTTCCTATCATCTTAGCCTATTTTAGGAATACTCATCTGTTTCTTACCTTTCATGTCTTTATTGAGTTTGCATAACATCTACTATTTGTGAACTTTATTTCACTGAATAGAGTTCCTATCCTCTTAGCCTATTTTCATTTCTCTGCTATGGTGCTTTTTAGCTGGAAAGCATATGTGAGGATACAGAAACTGTGGACAAAAAGCTGAACCTGATGAACTTTGTTCCTACTCTTCGGTCTGGTGAGTGGAGTGATATTGGAGAACGCCCTTCCATGGAGGATACACACATATGCATTGGAGATTTGGCCAGAAAATTTGGCAATAACGAACTTTCTGAGGAAGCTATTTCCTTTTATGGTGTAAGCTATCTGACCAATTTTATACTATTTCCTTGTTGTCATAAATCTCATTATATACCATCTTCAGTCAAATTGTATGTGTTACAATAAACGTAAAAAAAAATTAGCATGCACAGTTCAGTCCTGAATAGGCCCCAGCATGAAGGAAGAAAGTAGTCCATGGTAGTGATAGACAACTTGAAAAAAGGACAAGTATCTTCTTGTGTTCAAGTTGTCCAACGATAAAGTGTCTTATAGTTAGATATGTTTTTTCTTCTGAAGAAGTCATCTCATTTCACAATGTTAACTCAAGCCCCAAAGTTTCATCTCCCAAAACTTTAGGAAGCAAATCAACTGACAAATGGATCTTTTTTGAAGTAGACAATGGCCGTATAATTTTAGATGATGTTATGAGCCAAAATTAGGGATTTACCATTAAATACTTCAATCTGATTCACAAGGAAGTGTTGAGAAGGCTTCCTTGTTTGAACTTTCTTAAAGGTGAGATCATGGATGGATTCTTTCATCATTGTCACCCTCTTCCTCCCCTTTAGAAATTGTAATTATGTAACCATTCTGAAGTCTGACTTAAGACTTTTGAGTAGAGCAAATCATAGGGAAATTCACCTCAGAAAAAGAAAACTAAACAATTTTCAGTCATTTTGAACAGTTGAATATGCACCCTATTGATCAGGATTTGACATGTAGAGAAAATTATGTCTGTGCAGGTATTTGATGGACACGGAGGGAAGAGTGCTGCACAATTTGTTCGTGATCATCTACCACAGGTGATTGTTGAGGATGCTGACTTTCCTTTGGAACTTGAGAAGGTTGTAACAAGGTCATTTTTGGAGACTGATGCAGAGTTTGCAAGATCGTGTTCTATTGAGTCTTCCCTATCTTCTGGCACAACTGCACTGACTGCAATTATATTTGGAAGGTGAGCAAACATTCGATTAGGCTGTTCTTTGGTGTTCTTTGGCTTCAAACCAAAGTATAATTTTCTCAACTCACAGTGGCAAAGTTGCACACTGAATTTGAAGGCAAATTGAATGATAACAATTAGCTGATATGTGTTGAATGGATAGTCCATGAAGCTATTTCTATGTTCTAAACAAAAGCCGATGTATTGTATAGGTCTTTACTTGTAGCCAATGCTGGAGACTGTCGTGCTGTGTTATCCCGTGGCGGCCGAGCTGTAGAAATGTCCAAAGATCACAGACCATTGTGCATGAAAGAAAGGATGAGGATTGAGTCAGTAGGTGGATATATAGATGATGGTTACCTGAATGGTCAGTTAGGTGTGACTCGTGCTCTAGGGGACTGGCATCTTGAAGGAATGAAGGAGATGAATGGAAAACATGGACCATTGAGTGCTGAGCCTGAACTTAA